AAAACAAACTCCTAACTTAATTTAGGATCTATTTCTAAAGTAAGAAAGTGATAGAGCCCACCAATCCATGAGTGGATTAATAAAATGTATATGTACACCATGGAGTACTATTCAGCTTTAAGAAACAACGTGATAGCAGCATCCTCTGTATTTCCTGGATAGAGCTGGACCCATACTACTAAGTGAAGTATCCCAAGAATGGAAAAACAAGCACCAATGTAGCTCACCAGCAAACTGGTATTAACGATCAACACCTAAGTGGACATATAGGAGTAACATTTATCAGGGTGTCGGGAGGTGGGAGGGGGGAGAGGAGGGGTGTATACAACCACAACGAGTGAGATGTGCAACGTTTGGGGGATGGACACGCTTGAAGCTCTGACTCGAGGGGGGGGCAAGGGCATTATTCGAAACCTTAAAATTTGTACCCCCATATTATGCTGAAATAAAAAGGAAAGTGATGGTCCCAAGCATTTCGAATGAGAAAGGTGAGGTAGAAGGAAGCGAGAGAGATGACAGGATGCCGTACACAGGTCCCGTGCAGGCCCGGAGCCTGGCTCTCTGGCCAATCCCCCTCCGCACCGGGCCTGGCGGCCACCCCTCTCGGCTGTCCGGCCCCATGCCCTCGATCGAGGCTCCTGCCCCCTGCCCTGCTCGGCCCTTTGCAGGCTCCCAGCTCGCCCGGAGGCAGCTGGGACACTTCGGAGGTGGGCGAGGCCACTCCTCTGTAGAGAGCGTATCTGCCGGGAATGCAGCTTTTGGAAGAAAGACGCCATTTGACAAGAGGAACACTAGTCCTTTGACAGCCCCGCAGAAGCGGGCAGACGCGTTAGAAACAGAAAGTCAGGTCCAAGCTGGTATCAAAATCCCCGGGGGGTTCTGAAACGCCTCACTGTGTTAAAAGCTGGCCATGGTATTTTTGCCACGACCAATTCATTCCGGTTTTTTGTTTGTTTGTTTTTGTTGAGACAGAGTCTCACTCTGTTGCCCGGGCTAGAGTGCTGCAGCATCAGCCTCACTCACAGCAACCTCCAACTCCTGGGCTCAGGCAATCCTCCTGCCTCAGCCTCCCGAGTAGCTGGAACTAGAGGCATGCGCCGCCATGCCTGGCTCATTTTTTCTATATATTTTTAGTTGTCCAATTAATTTTTTTCTATCTTTAGTAGAGACGGGGTCTCTCTCTTGCTCAGGCTGGTTTCGAACTCCTGACCTTGAGCAATCCTCCTGCCTCACCCTCATTCTGCTGTCTAAATAGGAGTATGCCAGCGATAACAGTCAAGAGAAATGCTTTTCTTGGGAAACATGGAGAAGGAGGGAAAAGAAGGGACAGGTTCACTGGAGAAGCGATCCTTTCAAGAGGACCCCGGACGACACACGCTGAATGTAAGACGCTGGCGTCGTAAGTTGCAGGTGAGTGTGGAAAGTGTTTCGGGGATGGGCCGAAGTTCTGCGTGGTTTTTAGGTGCAGCTGACAGCTTTGCTGTCATCCTGATGGACACATACAGGCGGTTACCTGCCCCCAAATAACACAGCAGCCCCTGCCGTGGTCCACGTAAGAGCCTTAAGCATCACGCCACAGACAGGGCACAGGACGGCCACTGCCTGCGCAGGACCACTGGCGTCGATTAAACTCGATGTGACGCTGAACCAGGCAGTTTCACCCAGGAAAGACCACACGGAAGGAAAGAATGCCAGACTCTCCCTTCAGTTTGGGCCGCACCGGGAGCTGCCCAGGATCAGGCTGGCTTCCAGGAAGAAAGTCCATGAGGCCACCTATGGTTTGGCGTTCTCCTTCTGATACTGTTTCCCCGAAAATAAGACAGGGTCTTATATTTATTTTTCCTCAAGAAGACACCCTAGGGCTTATTTTCAGGGGATGTGTTATTTTTTTACTTTTAAGACGATACAACCATCTACAGCTGATTCAAATGAGGTAAGGTCGTCTTCTTCTGGAACTCATCCTCACTACTCAAACCCTGAATCCCATCCCTAATGTCTTGCGCCTCTGTTTTCTTTAGAGCAGCCGGCGCCTGATCCTCCTGTGGGCGCACTAGAAGGCTCTCTCACAGGGCAGATGAGAAGGCTGCCGTGTTCTCTCCCACGCCAAGGCATGCACTGGGTTGTCGCAAGATGCGCTGCGCAGCCAGCCCGTACCTAGGGCTGATTTTCATAGGCAAGCCCATCACTAAGGGCTGATTTCCCATAGCCACGCCCACTTACTAGGCGATTTTCATAGCCCGCCCCACTCACTAGGGCGATTTTCAGGGTAGGTTCTATGGCGCACATGGCTCAGAAATCCTGCTAGGGCTATTTTAGTGGGGTAGCTTATGTTTGGGAAACAGTAGCAAAAGAGATAGTCCATTATCATAATCTATTATTCTTAAAAACAGATTCTTCCACCTGGAATTATCCCAAAGAGGGAAACAAAAGTCTGGTATCTTACCGTCAGTTCCTGGGAAACAGCACTTTGGTTTCTTATGCTCGATTCCACGATGCTGTTGTTGCCTGTTCTCAGCTCCACAGGGGACCCCGAACCGCCACCGGTGGCCGCCAACCAC